TCTCGGTTTTGAGCAAGCAAGAAAGAAGAGAAGAATCTCTCATTTTACCTCTCTCAAACTTTGCTTCCATTAAAATCTTCAAGGTATCAGAGCGCCTCTGATTCAGAAATCTCCTTCTGCTTACTCTAGATTCTTCAATGACCACGGATGACTGAAACTCTTTATCACCCGAAGTTATTTTGGGTATGTATCTCCCCAAATCCACCAACACTGGAATAGTGGAACAACATTCATCGTTCATCACCAGCCATCGACTCAATGGCGATAATTACCTTCAATGGTCAACGTCTGTGCGGCTATTCATCCGAGGGAAAGGACGCGATGAATATCTCATGGGAGAAGCTTCAGAACCTCTATCGAATGACCCATATGCTCGGACTTGGAAAATCGACAACAACATGGTAATGTCCTGGTTGCTAAGCTCCATGACTCTCGAAATCAGTGAAAATTTCCTCTTGTACGAGAGAGCTCACGAAGTCTGAGAAGTTGCTTGTGAGTTTTACTCCAGCCGCGAAAACACTTCAGTAATTTTTAAAGTCGAATTCACCATCCCTGAGTTGCAGTAAGGTAAGCTGAACATTATTCAATATTATAACTCTCTCACCCGCAACTGGCAGCAGCTCGACATCTTCGAAGATCATCAATGGAGCTGCCTAGAAGATGCTAAGAACTACAGAGAAATTGTGGAGCAGAAAAGAATCTTTCGGTTTCTCATGGGGCTCAACAAAAGCCTGGATGAACTGTGGGGTCGAGTTCTATGCACGAAACCACTGACGGGTATTCGTGAGGTCTTCTCTGAAGTTTAGCAAGAAGAAAGCAAGAAGAAATGGATGTTGGGAGAGCCTCAGTTGACTTAGTTGAGTGAGAATGCTTCTGCTCTTACTTCTCACGTCTTTGATTCCCGTGGAAAGAAAGGACGTCCGTTTTGTGAGTTCTGCAAAAAGTCAGGGCACGTTCGTGAGAAGTGTTGGAAGTTTCATGGGAAACCAGGAGAGAAGAGGATCACCGAGACACCTCACGGAAATTTGGCGATTTCGGAAGAGCCCTCTGTTCAGCCCGAGAGTGCTCCCTTTAGTCCAGAACAAATGGAGGCACTGGTGAAATTTTTTTCGTCGAAAATGGGAAGTCTGGGTAATTCTTTTGTCTCTGTTGCCCAAAATGGTAATAATACCCATTTGGTTTATTAGCATGGTTCCATAAAAAATAGATTTAGAATGTGAATTCTGGGCCATCTGACTATACGACAGAAAATCAGTCATTGCTCGGTGATTATCTTGAATGTAAGGAAGATTTATTAATTAAGATTGTTGATGGTTCAAGTTCTAGAGTGGCAGGAATTGGCTCCACAAAAATATCATTCTGCTTGACACTCAAGTCGGTTTTTAATGTGCCTAATTTGTATTGCAATCTACTGTTCATAGGTAAATTGTGTAAAGACATGAATTGTATGGTGAAATTTGACAATCATTCTTGTGTATTTTAGAATTTGGTTTCGGAAAAAATGATTGGAATGATTGGCAATGTTAGGATGGATTCAGGTCTCTACTATCTTGCAGTTGACCCACCTACCTCAAGTAGACAAGCTTCTAATGCTGTGTGTGTTAATTCGGTTTTTATAGATTGTTCAAATGATGATCACGCAATTATATTATGGCATTATCGATTAGGCCACTCAAACTTTTTGTACTTAAATATTTCTTACTTTATTCAAGAATAAAAATTCACTTTCATTTCAATGTGAAATATGCCAATTTTCAAAACACGCTCGCAATTCTTTTTCTAATATACCATATAAACCCACACAACTATTTGTTCTAATCCATAGTGATGTTTGGGGACCTTCATGAGTCAAAACTATTATTGAAAAAAAATAGTTTGTATTTTTTATTGATGATCATACTAGAATTACCTGTGTCTTTCTTATGAGAGAAAAGTCTGAAGTGAGCTAAATATTTCAGAAATTTAATACTATGATTCAAACCAGTTTCACACTACAATACAAATATTGAAAACCAATAATGCATGTGAATACTTTGAATCCACCCTAAGAGAATATTTTAATAATTAAGGTATTCTCCATCAAAGCTCTTGTGTATACACCCCACAATAAAATGGCATAGCCGAAAGAAAAAATAGACACATTCTTGAAGTTGCTAGATCATTGATGTTTACAACCCATGTTCCTAAATTTTTGTGGGGTGAAACCATTATTACTACTACCTACTTGATCAATCGAATCCCCACTCAGATGCTAAATTTCAAAACTCCTTATAAAGCTCTTCTTTAGGCATTTCCAAAATCTCATGTTTTAAACACTATCCCTTGAAAATATTTGGCTGCACCACTTATGTTCACATTTGCACTCACCTCAGAGGGAAACTTGATCCAAGAGTTCTTAAATGTGTATTTGTTGGTTATTTCTCAAATAAAAAAGAATATAAATATTTTTTCTTAGGAGTAACGTTTTTACAATACTATGGATGTAATTTTTTTTGAGAATCAACCATTTTATCCCACAACTAATATTCAGGGGAAGAATTTCACTCAAAAATATCAGTTGTGGGATAGAAGCCCTCTTACACCTCAAATCTCGTTGACATCTTCCTAAAATATACATATTTAGGAAACCACATAAAAATCGGAACCCACCATAGATACTAATGACATATATACTGATTGCACATTACCTGCAACAAGTAAGTTATGAGTCTACACAAGAAGAAATAAGACTTAAGATAGTAGAATTCCTGAATCAACCACGCAAAGTCATGAGTCAACTCCTGGACCGAGCACTCATAATACTACAGGTAATGAAATTTCTAACTCAGTGGTTAATATTGACGCTAATACTGAACTTTCTATTGCTTTGAGAAAAGGTGTCCGATTTTGCATCATACATCCCATACAGGATTATGTGTCATATGACAAGTTGTCTCCAACATACAATGCACTTGTTAGTAAACTCGATTACAATATTGTCCCGAGAATTGTTCATGAGGCACTTGAGTTCTCAGAATGGAAAGCCGCAATCCAAGAAGAGGTCACAGCGCTTGAGAAGAATGAGATATGGGAATTATCTGATCTACCTTAAGCGAAAAAGCCTGTAGGGTGCAAATGGATCTTCACCACAAAGTATAATCTTGATGGAACTGTGAGCTGTCATAAAGCTCGCTTTGTTGCTAAAGGCTTCAGTCAGTTATATGGAATTAACCATCAGGAAACTTTTGTCCTAGTTGCTAAACATAACACAATACGAGTTCTATTCTCCTTCATCAACTGGATGTAAAGAATGCTTTTCTCAATGGAGATCTAGAAGAAGTTTACATGGAAGTCCTTCCTGAACTTAGCATCGGGTCTAAGAAGATATGTAGATTAAAAAAAGCTTTCTATGGTCTTAAGCAGTCTGCGAGAGCATAGTATGAGAGATTCTCAAGGGCAGTGAAACAGATGAGATATGTTCAGTGTCAGTACGATAATACACTTTTTGCCAAAAGTAGTGCCACGGGGAAGAAATCTATCCTAATTGTATATGTTGATGACATTATCTTAACATGTGATAGTGATGAAGAAATTATAGAATTTAAAAAGTTTCTAGTTAAAGAATTCGAGATCAAAGAACTTGGGTTACTTCAATACTTTTTTTGGGATGGAAGTAGCTCGATCTAAGAAAGGTATCTCTGTTTCACAGTGCAAATATGTCTTAGATCTTTTAAAGGAAACATATCTGTTTGGTTGTAAACCTGTAGGAACACTGATGGAGTCCAATGTCAAATTGGTCTTAAAAATATAGCAAACCTGTTGATAAAAAGAGATATCAAAGACTTGTTGGCAAACTTATCTATCTTACTTTTACCAAACCTGATATCAATTTTGTTGCAAGCGCTGTAAGTCAGTTTATGGCTGAACCAACTGAAGAACATATGAGTGCCGTTTACCAGATTTTGAGGTACTTAAAGATGACCCCTGGTCAGGGGTTGTTCTTTCAGAAAACAATAAATATGAGTGCTGACTCGGCAGAATCAGTGATTGATTCTGACTGGGCAGGATCAATGACTGATTGAAGATCAACATAGGCTACTGTACATATGTGGGGCAATCTACTTACTTGGCGAAGTAAGAAACAGTTAGTTGTATATAGAAGAAGTGCTGAAGCTAAATTGAGGTCTTTTGCTCGTGGAATATGTGAAGGTGTATGGTTGAAGAAGATTTTATCTGAACTAAGTTTTTGTATTCCTAATCCTAGGAAACTCTGGTGTGACAATCAATCAACCATCAATATGGCCAAAGATTCAGTGCATCATGATAGAACCAAGCATGTGGAGATTGATCGTCATTTCATTAAAGAGAAGATAGAAAACAAGACTATTACCCTACATTATGTTTCTACTGATCTTCAGATTGCTGATATCCTTGCAAAGGCACTACCAATAGGAAAATTTAATAACATTGTATCCAATATAGGATTACTCAATATATATGTAACCTAAATTGAGGGGGAGTGTAGGAAATGTTAGAATAAGGGTAGTTTAATATTCACTTTTTCTGGACAGGTGGAATGTCCACCATCACCCCTAGAAATTGGTTACGTTTGTTGCTTATTTTTCCTTTATTTGTTTTTCTTTCACATCCTCACCTTTGGTGTGACATCAGGGCAATGAGTGCCTATAAATGGCATCTCACCCTCTCTATTTTGAGCAAGCAAGAAAGAAGAGAAGCACCTCTCATGTTATCTCTCTCAAACTCTGCTTCCATTAAAATCTTTAATAATGTAGAAAAAAAGTATGAATAAAAATTCAGTCTGCCTTTAGTTACAAATATTGGTGATTGGTTATTGTCGTCGTAGCGAGGAAGGTGATCTAGAAACATAATGGTGGTGTAGGGATTCTGGTAGCAGGTGGTACAGTTTCTAACAATGTTTTGCTGCTGAGTCTTTGGTAATGGGATGATAAATATGCACAAGATTCTGGAGGGTGTCTTATTCTCCTCTTTGCACTTTTCTTCTCTCGTAATAAAGCTTTTCTGTCAAAAAATGATGCTTCTTCTTGTGCATATTTAGTTATCCTCTAATATTTAATTAGATAAGTTTCCATATGACATTGATGTGAGATTAAATGCTTTTGTTTTTTCTTATCTTACTAATAATCTTCTTTTTGCCAGTCTGTGAGAGAACAATTGGTGCAATTGATGTTTGAAACATTTAATGTCTCCGGATTTTATGCTTCAGAGCAAGCAGTATTATCCCTTTATGCAGTAGGTCGTATATCGGGCTGCACTGTCGATATTGGTCATGGGAAGATTGGTATATACCCCTGTTCCTTTAGATTGACGAGATTTTTCTATTAAATTGAAACTATCAAAGATTCCTTACTGATATTGTTTATGGAAGTTGTTTTATCAGTTTTGAGTTTGCTGCTATGTTGGACATATTCCTATGTGTTAGCATGTAATAACGAAACCTTAAATGAAGGGTTAGCATACTACTTTGTCATAGACCTTTTTTCTGTTGAGCAGGTCAACTATTTTTTTTCCCTTTTTTTTTTTAAATGAACAAGTCGAGTTAGACATCTTACTTTTCCAAAGTATTTTCTTTGGTCAAGGAAAATTTATTTTTTTCCCAATATGTGGGTGACATTTTAATCATCTAGCAAAAAAGACTGGCTATATGATGAGTGTTAGGTTACTCTACCATGCCTCAACTACATAAATATAAAATGCTTCTTCTCTCAATGTATATATATATATACACACATAAATATATTGATACTTAATGATGATGGTCTATTATAGCTTCATTGGATGTTAAAGGTTCAATGACATTAACTTTTCTCATTAAGCCTTTCTACTTGGATGTTGAATGCATTATTATCTACTCTTTATCTTTAATTTTATCGTTTAGATGCACAAATGCGAACATTTTATGCTTTGGCCTCTCTAAATGGATGTTTAATGCTTTTATCTATTCTTTATCTTTCATTTTATCACTTATACATGCGAACATTTTATGATTGAGTTTATTAACTTATTTTTTTTATTAAAAAAAATTCTTTGCTGGTGGCACCATTTACTGTTCAGAAGAGGAGGAAGAATGTAGTGATCTATAAGCAAGGCATTGATATTGTTAACCTCAATTAATATTTTTTAAAAAATTGGTAACCTCAGTTAAATATTTCCACAATGATTCTAGCTTGGACAATGTGGTCCTGAGTGACTTCAACTTTTTATTCACCAGTCTAAACTTGACTTACAATCTTAACATGGTAATAAACTGTCACAATGATATAGTTTAGCTGTACTCAAAACCTTGTAACACTAGGATGCAGTCACAGCTGCTAATGGTGCTGCTGCTAATGGTGCTTAATCAGCATTTATATGTGATTCATGGATCCAAAAATGCTGATTGGAATATGCTAGCTTAAGTTGCTTTATGTCTCTTGAAACAACATTACTGTTATGCTAAGATATTAAAAGCATATGAAACTTTTTCATTGCAATTCTTTGAATCTGATTGAAGTTTTTAAACTTTACAGCCTCTAGTATTCTAGTTGGTGAATTTGAGGTGGTGTAATTCTCTGAATATTTCGTTTGCAGACTGATCTGTTTTTCATTTGCAGCCTGATCTATTGGCCTTGTAACTTTATTTTTTGTTATCATAGATATTGCTCCAGTTCTTGAAGGAGCAGTCCAACACATTGCCTCAAAAAGATTGGAGATTGGAGGTATTGACTTGACGAAGTTATTTGCTCAAGAACTGGGTAAATCTAATCCTCATGTGAACCTGAACATCTCTGATGTTGAAAATCTGAAGGAGCAATACTCATGCTGTGCTGAAGATGAATTTGCTTATGCAAAAACCCAAAAGTCATGTGAGACTGAGCAGCATACCCTTCCTGATGGGCAGGTTTGTGTTTTCCATTTTCCCTCCATTTATTATTGTTTGAGACACTAAGTCTGAATAATTTATTATGTGGTAGCCTGTGATATTTCAAAAATTTCTAATTTAAGCTGATACTTGAGACTCTTAGGATTTGGTTGCATTTTCATCTCAATCCTGTAGCCCCAACGTTAAAAAAGGAAAGAGACCTAAATCTCAATCCCCTAGTTTAGTCCCCTTTCATTCTGGTTTTCATTATGAAAATTTACAGTTTTGGTCTTTGGTTTGGTTCTGAAACAGAATGCCCCTTATTGTGATCAGCTAGGCACTTGTCTTTCAAAAAAAAAAAAAAAAGAAAAAAGAAATTTATCAGCTAGGCAGTCTGATTCATCTCCATGGGATAAAAGTTCCTTCTCATTAGTCTTTAGCTAACCACCGCTGCTGTTGAACAGAATGAGCAGTTGGAACCGTAGTGGATCTTGGCAGAATTTGGCTCTCTCTTTGCTGAATAGATACACCTACCCTTGCATCTGGAACCAGGACAATCATTGAAGAATATTGAGGTAGTTACGGGGTCGATTGTAGTTCTTCCTTTGTAGATCGCCGTACTTTCTAGAAGATGATATTGAAGGACAGGTCTTTCATATGCTCCAATAGGGAATAATTTGACCGAGTCAATCCCATTTTATTCACCTGTGTTATTAGTGAGGAAGGTGGATGGAACTTGAAGTTCTTATATGTGGATTACCAATGTCTAAACAGTAAAACCGTCAGTGATATATTTCCTATTCCAATCATCAGTAAGTTACTGGAGGAGTTTCATTGGGCCTGGTTATTCACCAAGTTAGATTTAAGATTTGGCTACCATTAAATTCAGATGCACCTAGCAGATATAGAGAGACAATATTCTGTACCCATCAGGGTCAGTATGAGTTTGTGGTCACGTCTTTTGGATTTACAAACTCTCTTTCAATCCTTAAGGAATTTTGCATTTCAATTGTATTTGTGCGAATTTGTGCTTGTCTTTGATAATGTTTTGGTCAAACATGGATTGCTCTTTGCTGCTATCTTAGGTGTGTTTTTAGATTGTTCAATGGTCACTGTTTGTGTCTAAAAAAATAAAAGTGCTATTTCACTTAATCTCAATTTTATCTTGGCTATACCATCTTGATTCAAGGTCTGGCAGTTCAACACTATCAAGGTGGCTGTGATACTTTGATGGCTGAAACCAGCCACCATTGGAAAGCCTAAGTGGGTTCCATGGATTGGCAAGCTGTTACCAGAACTTTGTTAGGGAATGTTATTGTAGGATCCCTTACAGCTATGCCTCAGAATTCATTTGTAGGACGCCAACAGCTTTGGGAGCTTTTGAGAGACAAAATTTGAAATGACAACCACCCTGATCCTGCCTCTTTACAGTTTCTCTTAGCCTTTAAGTGTTTGATGTCAATCCTCTGATCTTGGAATTGGGATGGTCTTACAACAATGAGGCAAATCTGTAGCCTTCTTTACTCTGGTCTTAGCAGCTTGCCACTATCGCCTTCTGGCTTATGAGAAAGAATCAATTGGGTTGGCAAAGGCAGTGTAACATTGGAGGCCCCGTGGGGGTTGTTTGTCTATGCACTGACTGCTACAACTTCCACTTTTTACTTGAACAATGAATTAATTCTCTTTAAACGACGTAGTTTTAGTAAATTTATGGGATTTGACTTCTAGGTAGCATGAGGATACAGTACTTCTAACTGCAATCTGTGCTTCAGCCAAATCTTTTTCACTCCAGTAGTGAAGAAATAAAAAACTCTGGAATTACAGAAATTGGTGGATTGAATCCATGTCAACGCTGTATTGCTTTCTTCATCTCCCTTAATAACCAAAATTTTATTTGTTCTCCTTGGTCAAGACTGTGGAGGGAATCAAAAGACCTTTGGGTGCATTGCTGGTATTTTTGTTAGAAGAGACTTCAACAATTCAGGATTGCATCTGCCTGCCTTACATGCTAATGACATGAGGGGGTACAGTCTATATCATGTATAATAATGAAATTAGAAAAATTAGAACCTGCAAACTTCTCCACCTCCTTCCAGTCACAACATCTTCTATGGATTTCGTCGAAGGCTTTATGTCTTCCCATGGCAAAGATGTCCTCCTTGTGGTAGTTGGTAAATTCTCTAAGCATGTACTTCTTTCACCAGCATCTCATGTTTGGCTATGAGTTTGGCCTGGTTATTTTTTGCCACCACTTTAAAGCTACGCTAGTTACCTGAATACATTGTTAATGACTGAGATATCACCTTTACAGGTGCATCTTGCTGTAAGTTGTTTAGACTTAGCAACACCAAACTTCGATTTATCTTTTGTATGATCCTTTGTCAAATGGGCAAATTGAAATAGTCAATTGGACCATAGAAATGTATCTATAACCCTAAGAGCTCATATTGACAAGATGGTTTGACACCTCAATGTCGGCTCTTTGTCATCATAGGCTGCAATATATTTCAAGGGTTGGGATGTTTGCCAATTAAAGCGGTACGTGACTTGAGTCCATAACATCGTAAGACAGTTCAATCTAGACTTGGTGTGGGTGTTAAAGTATTGAGAGCACCTTTTCCTAACACGAGAGGGCCGGGAAGGATGCACCTCTAGTGTACCAATTATCATACCCAGAATAAACGCTAGATAGCCAAGTGTATAACAGATATTGCTGAAAGCATCTAAGTAGTAAACTCAACCCAAAATGAGTGCTATCCTATTCTAAAGCCTCTAGTAGCACAACTGAGACAACAACGAGTTCTCTACTTCTTGGGAGATGGTATTTTTAAAAATTCAAGAGAAGGTCATGGCGAGACAAACCATTTATCATTATGATAGGTATAAAGTGGAGCACCTATTTCTACTTCCTTTAAGGCTACCACATGTCAGGTTGTCTATGGTTGACGCCCCTTCAAACTAGGGTCATTGCTTTAGCTTAGGAAAGATGGAAGTAGAGGAATTGGAGTTGCTCTCCCATGAGTGTTAACTGTTTACTGAATGCTCAGAGTGCCATGAAGGCGTATTATGATACCATCAATTAAGCGGGTGATCAGGTTCTATTATATTGCAGCTTCACTGGAGCTTGGAACATTGATCTTCCTGTAAATTGGCTCCTGCATATATAGTGCTTGCAAGATAGTTGAAATGTTGGCTCGGCCATGAATTGCTTGGATATGCCTATTACCTCCCAAAATTAGCTTGTTTCTATGTTTCTTGCATTAAGAAAGTTCATGGAATGGAAGATGTCCTGCTCACCTTACGATCCATCCATAAGGGCAACCCTAAGCGCTTTGGATCAGCCTATCAATGGTGGCAGAACAGAGCTGTTAGTCGATTGAGACAGTCTATCATCATCTAACGCTTCAGGTGAAGATGCTGCTGACGTGAAGTCATGTTATCCTGCTTTGGTGCTTGTGCACAACCACTATTTGAACTAGAGGAGTAATATTACAGCTGCAGTAGCAGAACCACAAACAAAGGCAGAAAGAGGGATTTCAGACACACAGGTCCTACCGGAGGCAAAAGGGATTGACTTCTTCTTGAGCTTTTCTTTTCTGTTTCACTTAGGTCTGTGTTGTATGTTATAAGGAAACTTGGCTAGAAGTGGAACACAATGAAATAGAAGTTTGGCTAGGTGTCAATAAGATTGGCCAGATCTAACAAAAAAGGGGATCAGTTGCTGTGGTTTTCCCTATCTATATATATAAGCTATTTTATCAATAAAAGACAGCTGATACTTTCTCTCAGAAAGGGGTCTTTCGAGTAGCGAACTTCAAGAAATTATACAGTTCTCTCCAACGAGTCTTAATTTGACATATATTGGAAAGGAAGGAAGTCTGTGAACCAAGCAGTTCGCTTGGTTGAAGATTTCAGCCTTATTCAACCTGTAACCTGATCAAGAACTCGGGGATGTTTCATGAAATCCAGTACTGGCTTTGTGCAAGACCCATGCCCGCTTGAGAGTGGTTGTGATATGCAGCTTTACATGAGTATTTTGTGTCAGTTATTTTCTTTTGGCTTTGCCCTTAAAGGGCTTCTTAAAGGCTCAAAGTTGAGCTGTTGGATAACCTACGCAGGGATATACCAACAGGGTAAAACCCAGCTGGTAAGTATTTTGTGCCAGTTGCTTCTTGTTGATTTGCTTTCAGCATGTACATGTGGTTCAGATATTTGCTTTTAGCATGTGTTTTCTGTGACATCTTGAGTTGTCTTACTGTGATGCTTTTCAAGATTGGCTTTAGGTGATAAAAATTGGAAAAGCTAGATACACTGTTGGTGAAGCTTTATTCCAACCTTCTATTTTGGGTTTAGAGGCATATGGAATTGTTGAGCAGCTTGTACGTATTATATCAACAGTTTCATCTGAGAACCATCGACAGCTGTTGGAGAATACTGTACTTTGTGGTGGCACTTCTTCTATGACTGGTGAGTTGTTCGCTAATGAGATACTAGTGAAAGTTATTTTTATTTTTTTGTTATATATCTTTGTTGATGGGATCTTGATTTATGGTTCATTAACTTTCTCTTGTTAAGTGGCCGAGATTTATGGCAAATGAAAGATCCATATAGATACTGAATATGATCTGTTTGTGTAATCTTAACAACCGATTATTATTCCTTGACAGCAACAAAGCCTG